ATAGGCATAATTAAAAGAGCAGAATTAGAAACAATATAAATATTATTTTATAATTACATGACAGAAACGTAAAGTGGCCTGTTTGGCCCAGTAGCAGTTCTCTTTTCATCAAATCACGGGTTCATTCACGCCAGATCTTAATTTTTTTTTTTTTTTAATTGACAAGAAAACAACATGTCGTTTTCAAAACTGAAGGAAAACGACATGTCATCTATAGTCGTCTTCAACCTTGATCGGATCTAAACTGGATATCCGACCCGAAAACGACCCAATAGCCAACCCGATGGAAATCCACTATTTAAACTCCAAAATAATTGTTTCAAAGCCAGAAATGATAGAAATCCAATTTCCTAATGATTTATAACATTTTTTTCATTAAAAGAACAACTAAAAGACAAACTTTGATTTAAAAAAAAAAAAAAAAAAAATTTCAAACGGCATGAACAGAGAGCTTCAAAAATTCTTTTGCAAAACACCAAGCGAGGTATATATGGCTCTGCCGTACCAACTGTAAGATATTTTATCTGTAATCTAGACGGAAATACAAAGAATATAATATTCTTAAACTATAAACCAGGAATTAAGAATTACCTCTAGCCATTGAAACAAACTCACGAGCAGTATTTTGGATCTTCTAAGCTCTCAAGACACTCTATTGATGGTGTATTTTTCTGTATATTCGTGTTCTTGAGCTTAGGGACCAAAATAATATATTCATAACCAAGCTTCCATAAGCTTTTAATGGCTGCTTAATGGTTGCCATAAATCCCAAACATTTGAAAATTGAAGTATTTGAAAACTGAATAAAGGATGTGGACCATCAACTTTAAACCGATGAAAATCACGTTATTTACGTTACTCATGTAACGTAAGTTTTACATTCTTTTGATACCCTTTTGTTTTATTATGAAGGCTATTAGATTGTGACAGGCCGACATACATGTACCACCCATTATTTAGGCTTTTAAAGTGATACCCTTACTTTGAAAAACTATCAAAGTTTCACCCATTTTTCAAATTCCACCGTTAAACTTGACAGTAAAAGGACATTTATGTCTTTTTATCCACCACATAAAAAACCTAAAAAAATCCAACAAATGTAACACTATCCATACCCTTAATCCAACCCTTATTATATCTTAAACCTCTTAAAATCAACCCTAACACAATTTAAACTACAAAAATTAAAACAAAAAAAGAAAAAGACCAGCCATCGGCTTGACAATATCACAGCCTGAGCAGGCCACCACTTTGGCCATGATTGGCCAAATCACGGCCAAGGCAGTGCTATTAGGCCACAATTTTGTTGTCCATGTTCAGTTTTCCATTTTCAGGTGGGAGTTGTGGATGAACAAAACAAGGTTTTGGCTTATAAAAAGGTCATGGTTTGCACTTTGCAGTGTCAGGAGCTAAAATTCATTAACGGACAGTTACACTAATGGAGGGTGGAACATTAATATTTTTTCAAAGGAAGGGTACCAATTGTATTTACACTAGACCTTGGGTGCCGAACAAATTATAATATGAATTAAGTCACCTCGGATTTGGTGGTGGTGTATGATTTTAAATAGATGAATATGAAAATCAATTACTTGATTATGTAATAGATTGCTTCAGATTCTTTCAGGTCAATTCAAACCATGCAGGATACAAGGCCTTTAACTTAATTATATAGTTCCAATTGAACAGAGACTTGGCATTCTAAGATTGGAGCCCTGTGCTTTATTTATGCTCTTATACCGATAGCTCTGGTATATCCCAAAGTTTAGTTTAAGGTCCTCTAAATGCGCTTAGTTAAAGCCTCTGCTGCATAAACTTTTAAAAAATTTAACCGCACCGTTCCCACATATTATTGATTGTTTCTAAGTAATCTTTAAAATAATCAACTTCATTTGCCGCTTTGGTGATTCCGTCTTAAATATTGTTTTATTGTATGGCTGATGACGCAGACGTGTTCACAGTTTCAGCAAACACTTTCATATTGGTACGATAGCCAGCCATGCCAAAAGACGAGTTGGAGTAAGCCATAATGTAGTTGAGCTCTAAATATTAATCTGCAGTTCTCTGCAGCATGCATAAGATCCCTGCAATGCTCTACCACGCATAAAATCTGTCTGGTCTGGACAAAACCATGTTTACTCTTGAATCATTTATATTAAGAATTGTTTCGGAGTTCGGACGCTGTTTCTGCTTAACAAAAACTTAATAGAAGTGTTCAACAAAATATCATATATGCTAATTACGTTCCGTATTGCTTGATTTGTGAATTTAATATTGTGTCATTTCTATACTTACAATTCTCCAGGGTATCTTTTCTTTTTTCGCACCTTGTGTAAACATTTTCATAGCCCCCATGGAAATTAAAGAGAAAAAAAACATATTGAAGATAAAAACTTAAAAAACTATTTACTTATAAATCTATTGGCCGCCTATTTCAGCATGTCTCATACAGTAATATCCTCAAAAATCCAGGGCTTATTGCATCAACCAAAGTGTAATTGGAGGAAAAAAAAAAAGACTTTTTTTCATAAAAGGAATTGGTATAGTTAAAATCTAAAAGGTTGGGAAAAGTTAGTGAACGAAACTCAAAAGGTACCAATAAGAAATAATCAGCGATGGGTTACTTTTTTGTTGACAATAACTAGTTGATCATGTTAGCATTTTCTCAATTCTCATCTCGTTTTTTAAAGAGTGATTTAATATCAGTATTTGGAATTTATATGGGGTCACAACGACTTCAAACTTCAAAAGATCTCCTCGTTCGTAATGCCCTCAAAAGGAACACTCAAACGGTCAAACCACAGTCCACAAGGGTGATCACGCATCAAGCCTCGGTTAAATTTAAATCTGTGCAAAGCCCGACTAAGAGGAGTGGACCCATTGTTTAACTATATCCCATACATTCATGACATTGTGATTTGTGACGCACTTAAGTGACCAAAATCCAAAATCCCATCCCACTTCTCACACAAGTATACTTCAAACCATTCAACAAACAGTTGCATCGGGTTGATGCTATAAGCAACGAATACTTACAATTAAGCAGTCATCATAGTATAGTATTCATCATAATCGGTCCTAAGTATTCCCTTTTATCAAAGGAAAAATCCCAAAACAGTGGACACATCTGGTTAACGAGGCATATAACAAACACAACACAGAATGCAGAAACAGGAAACTGTAAACAGTTAACATAGGTCTGCATCACCGGAGTTGGCTTTTAGCAGCTATGTAGTCATGATAAAGCAACGGAAACTAACATGCGAAAAAGAAGCATAACAGCTATTCAGTTGATGATTCCTTTGCNATATGAAAATCAATTACTTGATTATGTAATAGATTGCTTCAGATTCTTTCAGGTCAATTCAAACCATGCAGGATACAAGGCCTTTAACTTAATTATATAGTTCCAATTGAACAGAGACTTGGCATTCTAAGATTGGAGCCCTGTGCTTTATTTATGCTCTTATACCGATGGCTCTGGTATATCCCAAAGTTTAGTTTAAGGTCCTCTAAATGCGCTTAGTTAAAGCCTCTGCTGCATAAACTTTTAAAAAATTTAACCGCACCGTTCCCACATATTATTGATTGTTTCTAAGTAATCTTTAAAATAATCAACTTCATTTGCCGCTTTGGTGATTCCGTCTTAAATATTGTTTTATTGTATGGCTGATGACGCAGACGTGTTCACAGTTTCAGCAAACACTTTCATATTGGTACGATAGCCAGCCATGCCAAAAGACGAGTTGGAGTAAGCCATAATGTAGTTGAGCTCTAAATATTAATCTGCAGTTCTCTGCAGCATGCATAAGATCCCTGCAATGCTCTACCACGCATAAAATCTGTCTGGTCTGGACAAAACCATGTTTACTCTTGAATCATTTATATTAAGAATTGTTTCGGAGTTCGGACGCTGTTTCTGCTTAACAAAAACTTAATAGAAGTGTTCAACAAAATATCATATATGCTAATTACGTTCCGTATTGCTTGATTTGTGAATTTAATATTGTGTCATTTCTATACTTACAATTCTCCAGGGTATCTTTTCTTTTTTCGCACCTTGTGTAAACATTTTCATAGCCCCCATGGAAATTAAAGAGAAAAAAAACATATTGAAGATAAAAACTTAAAAAACTATTTACTTATAAATCTATTGGCCGCCTATTTCAGCATGTCTCATACAGTAATATCCTCAAAAATCCAGGGCTTATTGCATCAACCAAAGTGTAATTGGAGGAAAAAAAAAAAGACTTTTTTTCATAAAAGGAATTGGTATAGTTAAAATCTAAAAGGTTGGGAAAAGTTAGTGAACGAAACTCAAAAGGTACCAATAAGAAATAATCAGCGATGGGTTACTTTTTTGTTGACAATAACTAGTTGATCATGTTAGCATTTTCTCAATTCTCATCTCGTTTTTTAAAGAGTGATTTAATATCAGTATTTGGAATTTATATGGGGTCACAACGACTTCAAACTTCAAAAGATCTCCTCGTTCGTAATGCCCTCAAAAGGAACACTCAAACGGTCAAACCACAGTCCACAAGGGTGATCACGCATCAAGCCTCGGTTAAATTTAAATCTGTGCAAAGCCCGACTAAGAGGATTGGACCCATTGTTTAACTATATCCCATACATTCATGACATTGTGATTTGTGACGCACTTAAGTGACCAAAATCCAAAATCCCATCCCACTTCTCACACAAGTATACTTCAAACCATTCAACAAACAGTTGCATCGGGTTGATGCTATAAGCAACGAATACTTACAATTAAGCAGTCATCATAGTATTGTATTCATCATAATCGGTCCTAAGTATTCCCTTTTATCAAAGGAAAAATCCCAAAACAGTGGACACATCTGGTTAACGAGGAATATAACAAACACAACACAGAATGCAGAAACAGGAAACTGTAAACAGTTAACATAGGTCTGCATCACCGGAGTTGGCTTTTAGCAGCTATGTAGTCATGATAAAGCAACGGAAACTAACATGCGAAAAAGAAGCATAACAGCTATTCAGTTGATGATTCCTTTGCCACTGTACACACCCTGATCCCAAAGCAACTCTGAGATCTATCTGCAAAAATTGACATCAAATGAGATCAATTAATCACCAGTCACATCATTCAAACATACACAATAACTCAAGAAACAAATTGAATAGAGTAAGAGAATACCTAAGAGCTGGATTCCTGCTCAGCCTCATCATGGACCTCAGAAGTGGATTTTCCAGAGTCCTCAGGCTTTTCATCAGCCCCACCGCCATTCTAATTCAAAACCCAAAATGGAAATTAGAAAAAAGAAATATCATGAAAAAAAGAGAAATAAATCTTAACTTGCCACAATTAAACATTAAAAACAGAGAATAAATATGAAGATACTCGAAGGAAGATCATTACAAGTTTTTCCTCATGAGCTTCAAAAGCTCTCACATAATCTGCCTTCCTGTTTTTGGCTTTCTCAACATATGGAGCTTTGTCCTGATATAATATTACCTCATATTATCATAATTTCTTAATATTAGCTGTAAAAATAGAACAGGATTTTTAATGAAGAACACTTGTATCCTAAGAAAGTAGTGAAATTAATATCATACAGCATCAGACATCGACTTCCATTTTTGCCCGCCGGCTTTCCCAACCTGCACATTCACAAATCTCTGTAATCAATCTCTATCATGAAACAACATATTCGTGTTTGGTTTCTGCGAAACTGAAGGAAATTATTATAAGTTTGAAATTTGAATTCCACCAGTCGATTTATTAATATTGAATTTCTCAAGTAACAAAAGCAAAAGGCTTCTAATCTTGAGTACTATTTTCCCCACCTATTCTCTAAACAATCAAAGTACCAAACAGACGATAGATAAACTAAATCTAAATTTAAACATCTTGTTTATAAGTTATCCACCTCTAGTTTCTCATATTTTGATATTCAAATCTACAAACAAATAGAAAGCAACTAGGAAATCAAATACAAAATAAAAAAGTGTATCGTCTGATTCTTATTTCCTTCTACTTTCCTCGAGTTTCTCGTAAACAAAACAGGAACAGGAACTCAGGAAGTAATAATAATTGAGTTTGGAATCTAACAACTGAAACAGATTTGTTATCAGGATGATTTTCTTTGAATGACTTTCTGAAGTCCTCCCTGTCATTCAACACAGGCAAAAGTGATTTATTACTATCAAAAACAACAAAAAACAGTGAAAAATAAAAAAGCGAAATTCAGGACAGTAAACTTACATGAAGATAAAGAAAGCACTGGCAGGACGCTTGGGAGCACCAGAATCCTTCTTCTTGCTCGCTCTCTCCTTTGTCGTTTTGTTCTCTGCCTTGCGTTTCCTCAAAATCCTTCAACACATAGCAGGATCAACAACAACATAATGTTAAAAGAAAAGGCACGCCATAATATATTACAAAGCAAATCAAGCACTCGTAACAAATGAATGTTTCAAAACAAAACGAGTACATAATTACGGTGAGTTTACTAATTGCAGAATCAAACAAGAAGCAGAAAGCAGTCGTCGAAGAAAATAAGTCTGAGCAAAAATAATAAACTAAAACATGATTTCAAACATATACAACAAAGGAAACACTATGAAAGCAGATAATCGAACCAAATTTGTATTATAGAACAATAAAATGAATCAAAAAACCGATCACAGTAGTCAGAGCTCGGGAACAAAAATATTTCACACAATGTTTGAAACAAACAGCTAGAATGAGATGGAATTGATTCAGGAAAGGAAAAGTAAAATTAAAAGATGACAAAGCAGAAAGACTAAAAGCAAGCAAAAAAAAAAAAAAAAGCAGAGAGGAAACTAAAGTTTACTCTGCGTCAGGTTTCTTGTGAGCAATCGCAACTCTTGGTCCTTTCATGGTTTCTTCTGGCAAGAGAGGATTGTAAGAGGGAACAAATGCAATGCGCTTTTGATTTTTGACTGAAGAATGGATTATAGAGTTAGGAGGTGCATATAACTATATATAGTGTGAGTTACGGATTTGAAATGGAAATTAAAAATCATTTGAGATCCGAATGGTATTTTTGGCGGGAGGAAAATGCAGGACGTGTTGAATGTAGGGAGATAGATAATACTCTGGCGAATATGTAATTAAAGTTACTCGCTTGATTTCATTAACACGATGGAGTTCAATAGCATGGGTCCTAGGCGACAAATTGTATTTCGCGTGTATGTATTGTGCGAGTATAAAATGCGATGCTTGTAGCTCAACTTTTAGCATAACCGTTGAGGCGACGTGCAAATATACAATGAGCGTGGGCGGGTAGCTCCTCGGTGGCGAACGTATACAGTTACTGAGTTACCAATGAAATGATGCACTTGTCGCTTGTCAGCAATTGGATTGAAATTCGATAATTAATAAATATTTATTTATTTATTTCAGTTAATTATCAATCAAATCTTTGATTTTTTACGCTGATTAAGGTACATGATATATTGCTTCTATAGTTCTATAGGCTATAATTAGTAGACAACATCAATGTTTGACAATTTGCACCTAATGAGTCACCCGTTAGTGACATAATTTATTAGTCAATGTTACTCTTTTTTGTATAAATCTGGTACTAATCATTTAATATGATCAGCTGTGAATAAATTTGCATAAATCAATTAACATATAAGGTACATATTTAGAAAATTAAGTTCAACCGTGGTATGAATCATTTACTGGATTGGTTCTTGTTTTCTCGCTGAGTCAGAATCAAATGCCCTTTACTCCAGTCCTTCAAAAGGGCTTCTTTGTTGTCTTCCCATCTATTCAATCTCTTCTTAGCTTCTTCGACCTGCAATTCAAAGAAAAAATATGTTAATTTAGTTCATTTTTGCCAATATCCAATTAGCACCAAGTGAATTGCTCTTTCCATTATAAGAAAAACCATTTTATTACGGGACATAACATACCTCTTTATTCCAATCTGTTCCAAACGTGACCCACATTAAAATTGAGGTTTACATCACCGTACCGCCAATCATCCCTGACCATATCCCCTATAGAACACAGTAAACAATTACTACCATATAAGATCTACTCTATGTAAATAAAAATAGAAACATGTTCCTAAAGTCTATAAATGATAAAATTATATGTAGATGAAAACACAGTCCTTGGAAACAAATATTGGTTTCGTATCTTGGCACCAACGTTGAAATAGAAACCTAGAAGTGTACCAAGTGGGACACCAACCACGTAATAACATCCCACGTTAACATATGCAACAAAAGCTCGCCATCCACACCCAACAGCTACACCTTCATCAACAATTAATTAATGTTAACCTATACATATATACTTATGCAACATTTGATACTACTCCAATTATTCTACCAAATTAATCTTACCGGATAAAACAGGTTGAATTCCATTAAGAAGAAGGGTGAGGGTTAAAAGTGGACAGAGATCCGAGACAGCTGCAGAACCGGCTTCACCTTCTGTGAAGGCATAGCTTATGACATCACGCAATGCTGGCACTAGTATGGCCGCGATCACTGAGATAATGAAGGAGATTATTGTCACAATTGATACGGAAAATGATGCTGACTTTGGGTTTCCGGCTCCAAGCTCATTGCTTACTCTCACACTGTTTGCGTTTGGAAATTATTCAGGTCAGATATAAGTTGTAAATTAAAGAATAACAAATAAATAGTAATTGTAATTTCATATAATATGATAATAACCTTGCTGCTGCATTGAGCCCAACTGAGATCATGAACACCCATCCAGATACTGTCATACTGCGAGCGCCAACCAATTAATTACGCATCAATGAGTTAACAATAATTAAACAACATTAAACAGTACTCACCTGATTATATTATTATTATATAAAGACCTACGATTATTATTATATAATCATTATTTTTTATTGAATATAGATATAAATGGAGGCGCAGCTATGAATTATATATCGTCCATATCTCTCACCTTTCATGAACTTATTATCTGCACATGCGACTAAATAATTGAGAGATGTATATAGCAGTCCATAATAATAATATAGTAATGTTCAACATGTGAATATGAATCAACAATTTAACATATGCATATACTCCAACATTAATGAGGAACAGCCCAAAAGGTTTATCTAAAACAAAGTGTGTGACTTCAAATATTTATATCAGAATGCATTTTTAATTTTAATCACAAATAAACTTAAACAGTAAATATTTTGAGCTTACCAAATAGAGAGTGAATCTAAAGCCAATTCAGGGTTCTCTAACAACCCAGCCAGCAAAACAAATATCTGGAAATACCATGTCTCTAAGCACATCATCACAGCTGACGCAGCCGAGAGCTTGAAGAAGCTTGACAACCCTGAAAAGGCTTGTGCACTAAAACGGCCCCATGTATACTTACACTTCTCACTCTTAACAATGTATATGAACTGACCCACAACTATAATCCACCATGAAAAGCTCAACACTAATGATGCACCAAGCAACCCAAGCCCAATCTTGTACACTGCAAACCAACTAAGCAAAAGATGTATCACCAATGTGGCTGCTGAAATGTATGCACTAGGGGCCACTATGCTTTGAGCTTGTAAAAATTTTTAGATAGGGAAGTTTAGAGCATAGACAAAAACTTGAGGTATTAAACCATAGACAAAAACTGCCGCTGCTGAAGCTATTTCTGGTGACTCACCGAGCAAAATCAATATGGGTTTGGAGAAGACGTAGATGAAGGTCAGTAAGATCCCAGTAAGTGTGAGAAGGATTGTTGATCTTTGCAGATATATGCCAAGCATTTCATATTTGCGTGCACCATATGCTTGTCCGCACAATGTCTCCACAGCACTTCCCATTCCCAACTATCAATAATGAACAATCAATTTACAAACGTTATTAACACTTCATTGATAACTAATTTTAACACGCACAAACGTTTAAGATATATACCATTAGACCATAGGCAAAAATTTGGACGCTGGTGTGACCAAGGGAGGCTGCTGCAAGCTCAAGGGTTCCTAGGTGGCCACAGAAGATATGGGTGGACATAGACATGGCATAGTTGATCATGTAGACAATAACTGCTGGTGCAGCTACATGGAACAATAGCTTTAATTCAATCCATGTTGCCGGTTGCAGGCGCTGCAAGAATGGCAACTCAGTGTTAGATAATATGGCCTCAAGCTGGCCGTCTGATTCATGTTTTGTGTCTGATGGCTGGGGTGATAAAGATGGAGGACCGGATTGAAGCAGAGGCTGGTGAATATCATGATCTTCTGAGGAACCCATCTTCTAGTGTTTTTGGGCAGAGAGTTAGAAGTTTACTAGTTGTTGAAGTAATTGCATTCACAATGGTGTCAACTTATAGGCATTTGTCTTCTTCAACTTATATTAAACACGATTTGAAATAAGTCATAAAACATTTAATTGATGAAGTTTATTATAGACTTGAATTAAGGTTACATAAATTTGAAAGAAAAAACAGCTTCCAGTTGTCGAGCCCATTATTTCACATGGGGAAGAACTCATCAACAACCCTCATGAAAAACGGTTTTTTTGTTATATTTAATAATATTCCAAAACTAATTGAGTAATTATATGTTATAAGCAAGCAACGTGGTACACGATTCTTAGATCCAGGCATATATGACAAAAATACAAACAAACACTGTCAAATGTCAATATTAATTAAAGAAAAGCAATAAGCCGACTTAGATCCAGGCATTTATGATAAAAATACAAACAAACACTATAATATTAGTTAAAGAAAACCAATAAGCTGGTTAGATCCAGGCATTTATGGTAAAAATACAAACAAACACTATCATATTAATTAAAGAAAAGCAATATATAATATAACAGTGTGTTTGGTTTGGGGATATATATGATTAATGAACGAATGTTATTTTATATTACTTGATTATCATGTTTAGTTGTTAAGTAATATAAGATTGTAATAATCTTCTAATACCAATAATAGTTACTGTTAGTAATATTGAAGGTAATATAACTTAGGTATTATAAGATTATTTAGTAATTTTATTTTTATTATAATTTTACCACAATTTTACCCCTGATTAATAAATTTTTTTAGACAATAATGCTCTTGTTTTTAAAATCAATTTAGATTAATCTACTATTACAATTTTACCATTGTTTAATTAAGTTTTTGGACAATAATGCCCTTATATTTCAAACAAATTGCACACCACCACCACCACCGCCACTCAGCCACCACCCTTGGCCACCGCTGGAAGTTGTTGGCCAGATCTACGGCCATCTGGCTGTTTTCGGCCATTAATATGGCCATATCGGCAACTCCCAGTGATTTCCAATGACTTCTGATGACTCTAGGCGGCGGCTGGTGGTGGTGGTTGGAGGCTCGCAGTGGCTTGGGGTGGGTGGGGGTGATTTTGTTATAAATTAAAGTTTTATATAAGCTGAGTTGTTTTAGTTAAATCTGAAATGTTGAGGATTAAAAGAAATTATTCCAAAATTAATAATAAAAAATAATATTATATTAATATTTAAAAATGAGGGCAATTTAGTAATTTAAATAACATATCCACCAATTTATTTCAACTAACCAAACACATTTTCTTAAAGATTCACAGTAATTTTCAAAGTAATCTAACTTTCCATTAATATAACATTCCTAGTAATCCAACATTCCCTAAACCAAATGCACCCTAAGATATAAGCCAGATACTCCATATTGAGGCCTTGATTAGTGCTAATCAACAAGTTTCTATTGCATTATTAGTATTGATGTCATATCAAATATGAGATCTCCTATATATAACAGTCTTGGTTGAGTTCTCAAGCAAACTCGAAATACAATTTATAGCAATTTTCCTAGCAGCGTCTAGTACGGCAATTTGCCAATCTTGGTGACAACACTCATCAGTCTAC